GGCTGAAAAAAAAAAAAAAAAAAAACAGCCCCATGGTTGGGCCGCGGCCGAGATGTCCCGGCCACACCCCAGACTGGCCACGACCGAGATGTCTCGGCCACAACCCAGATTGGCTAGGGCCGAGATATCTCGGCCACAGCCGAGATTCGCAGGCACTACCCTTCACAGCCGAACGCGAAGTCTGGAGAGTAGCCTGCTCCGAAGAAGTGGGGGGCTCGGGGGGATGGAGGCCAAAAAAAAGAAAAAAGAAAAAGAAGAAATAAAAAAGTAAAGAAACGAGGAGCTGCGAATCCACCTACGTAGGGAAGGCCCTCACCTCACCAGTGCTTTGAGGAATGTATCTGGCCAGGAAGTGAGGAGCATGAAACAGGTCGTTTTCCTTTTTTTGGTTTCTTGTTGTCAGGTCCTTGTAGCGCCTTGCGAGCCAGGCAGGGCAGATTCCAGGCGAGGCAGCTAACAGCCTCGCTTCATTTAGCATCCTGTATCGGCCCGCAATCACAGCATAAGGGATGTTTTTTTTTATTTTTTTTATTTTTTTATCTGCTGTTCGTGGATAGACGAGGGCCCTGACTGAACTGCGCAGCCCGAGTTTCAACTGCAATTGAAACTCGGGCCCTGACTAAACTCCTAAAACGCAGTTTCAATTGCAATTACAAAGTGTTTTCGTGACTGCGCCGTAATTACCCCCAAAAAAAAGAAAAAAAGAAGAATTTTTGGCAGGTCCATCGCGGTTGGTTACCCCATAAGGTAAACCTTCCCTGTGCGGGGGGAAGTGGACCTATGCTTGTATCGTTCGCCATCCAGTCCTTGGATCTCCTTTCTGCATGGGATCTCCAAAACAAAAAGGGTGTCCTCCCCCTCCCGCCCCCCCTTCCCTCCCTCTTCCCCCCCGCCCCCTTTACCTCCTCATGATACCCACTACTTGTGGAAATGGGGTGACAGGGCAGAGTGTAAAAGTCTGCCATGTAGTTTCAATTTTCAAAGGATTATCCCCGTTCACGGCAGGAGCATGTGTGACCTGGAAAACTGCTTTGCGAGCCTTTCGACCAAGCTTGTGAGGTCTAGTCCTTGGGTAGTAGGCTTTCAGTTGTAGCTTGATGACTCAAGCTCGAGACTTCTGGGAACTAGGCTTTCCATCCACAGGAACGTTCAGATTCGGCGCGAGCATCTTTTGGCATTTTGGTCACAAGTGTTCTTTCCTTTTTTTTTCCGTCTTTTGTCTGCTCTATGCCCTTGAGATATCATCGTCAAACAGACTCAAACTGAATGACCCAGGTAATTCGAGTTTTTTTCACTCATCTGATTCACGCGCCCAGAATTCCATCTGAGGTCCAATTATCGTCAGTTCAAACTTCACAGGCTGTCTCTTATACACATCTAGATGTGTATAAGAGACAGGGGCGGGGCGGGGTATTTTCACCCTTGTCTTTTCAAAAGGGTCACTGCTTGGAGGCATTTCGTTGAACTGAGAGTTACTTCCTCATGACGCACCAGGTTCCGGACCTGCTCCATCTTCCACCCCCCCCTCCCCCTCCCTCTGTTTTTCGAATTTTGGTACTCCTTGCAAACGGGCGGACGAGGCCTCTTTTTCTATTTACATGAAATTCAATGTAATATGCCTTGTTCGTAATCAGGGAGGCCCGTCCTTCTCAGGACCTTCGTCATTTTTGATTCGGTTTTTGGAATTTCACCTTTTGCAATTCCGGAAATACATGGGAATTATGCGTGCCTTAGTGAGCGCGATAGGAATTTGGGTCCACGGTTAGGAATTCCGAAATGAGAGGAACCTTACGTGTCCTTTCTTGAGCATGAATGTTTTCGACTTCGTCTTGGAAAAATCTGGGAATTTTCGTAGGAATCTGAATAGGTATAGGACTTTTTCACACGCTCACTGTACGCGCGGATATGGTACTTTTCAATTTTGAATTAGCTTTAACTATTTCGGTGCCCTTTTTGCCTCCGTGTCGGTCTCTCTCTGTAACTGTTTTCCATATCTCCTTCGCCTTGCGCGCCTTTTCTCTTTCTTGATCGTCTGAATCTTGGTTCTGTCTTGCGCTATTCTTCTTCCCGCTCTAATCCTCACGCCGAAATACTCTGTCGACTCCCTCTTCACTCCCTCTAGCCAAGGAGATGCGGCGTATAAGAAGGAAATTCCTGATACACGACGATTCTGATTGGCTACAACTGGGATCCAAAGGATCGACATGGCTTTCGTCAGGCGAGTGTCCCTGAACCTTCCTCTACCCCTCCCATAGTCCTAACCCTTCCTAGCATCTATCTCCTTTTCCACAGCTATAAATTCCACAAGCGCTTCCGAAAATCTTTTTCTCGACTCATCAGCCAACTTTCGGGAACCAGTGGCTAGGTGGTATGTGGGAAGGTGTGAGTCGAAAAGTACCGACGAGCTGACTGTAGCCTTGGCAGCGGAGCGCTGGATCGTTCGACGGACTGTGGGATCTAGGCCAGGCCATGCAGAGACTAAGTTGGCAGGGTGACGATCGCTATGGCGGATTAGCACATGACGAGCGGGATCATCAGTACTTGTGAGAAGTTCGAATCGGAAGTGAGTGAGTGCCTGGCCTGGGGCCATGGTGGGATTTTATGATAAAAGTTCTCTTTTTGTCCCAACGTCTGTATCTTCGAGCATGAGTTCTAGTCACTCGGCTTTTAAGCCGCAATTTCCCTGAACAAGATCGTCGGATATTTTGTGATTGCTTTCTACTCATTCTTCCCTCTGATCTGCGTCTATTCTCCCTCATCCTCTCCTCCGATCATGTTTTGTTATAATGGATGAATTATGGTAGCTTTGCTTCTCTCACTTTGATATGTGCATGCAGTGGGTCGTATTATAAAACTTTGTTGTTGCATGATTGAGAGGATGATTGGCTGATGGACTGGGTGATCTGGCTGCCTGTAGTGTCGAACGAACGAAGTATGATTAAGAAAAAATTGTTTTGTGCCTGCTCTTGTTGCCATGTGGATTGTCTGCCTCAACCCGACATGGGGGGCAACATCCCGTACCCCCGCCACGCCCCTTCCCGTACGAGGAAAGGATACGTGTATGCGAAAGGAACGTACGAGAAGCCGTCGCTAAGATCGGAGGGCGCTATTATGTTCCTCCCGAAACGAAGTGTTCTCGGTTCGTCGGCGCGGGTTTTGTTATTGTTAATATTCACTTTTCGCCCTATTCGTTGTTGTTGCCATTTAACGAGTTGATCGTCGTCCCGTGGACGGCGGTAGAGCGTCATTGGCCTAACACTTTGTGCAGCGATTGTCGCCGCTTCGAGCGTTACCGGGCCAAGGGTTTCCACTACCTCACACGTGGCGAATACAAGCATAAACAAAGGGCCGCTCGATTAAAGCCCTCCACGTCGGATTTGGAGTTGTGTAACGAGCGCCGACAAGACCTCATCTGCAAACGGGATACTGTGACGCCCAAACCTCACGCCCAACGCGACTTCCTGATCGCAGTGGGATGTGGGCCTGGAAGTGCGGAAAGGGGTGTGCCAAGGATTTTTGGGGAAAGTGGAGTCCCAGGTTAGAACTGAGATTTCCTGTGACAGGGTCTTGGGGGCACGAGTGCAATTTGGCGAAGAGGGTGTCTTCGGGTTACCAGCGCGGTTCACTCAGGATCGAGCGAGCCATTGGTTTCGGGGACGGCGGTTCGTGGGTTGGTCCCCTCGGGGTAGGTGGGATTCCGATGAGTTTGTCTGTCGGTAGCTGCC